TCCACCAACCTAAAAGAAATCCAAAGTAAGCAGAAATTAAATTTTTACATGTATGCAACTAACGTATCATAATTGAACATAATCTGTAAAATGTAGTTAATATGTTGTTACTAATTTAATGTCTTTATTTAAATGTATAACAATTATAAAGAAGTATTTAACTGATAATTATCAGCACCTGCAGACCACAACTTGTTGTATAAACATAATTGTTCCTGTATTATCTTAGCAAAATACAAGATAAGGCAAAACCAAACAGAATGAATCGTTATCTTACCTGATTCTTAAGTGGCAACAAAGCAACTTCGTCATTTTCTTGCAGAAGGGAAGAACTATTTGTACTGTGGCACTGCGATTTAGTTTCTCCCATGCCCCAGGCACCCGTCAGATATACCATTACAGCTAGCTGTGTATATAGTTTGACAAACAAAACTTGAATACGAAAAACAAGCTGTGTACAACACACGATTTGTCTTGACGTAGGTACAAGTATCAGACGTGCGTGACGCACCTACTCCACGTTCACACTGAACAAAACTTGCTTAATACATTCTTCTTGAATGCGTCACTTTGTATGTGTGCATATACCAGGAACGGTGAAGCACTATTCTCTACAAGTGTGAAACGAACTTCTGAGAATCCATTACGTTTCTTTCACAGTCAATTTTTTCGCAGGAAACGATACTTATAAATGTGAGAAATATATACCTCAATATGAGAAGAAAATATCGTAAGTGTATAGATACATACATACACAATATTAGGAAGATCAGCTGTGCAAAGCTAATTGTCAGCTAGGATCTGGGATTGAATTGGGATTGTGTACTTTCCTGTTATATGCGAGAACATGTGGAACTTTAGGAAAGTTCTATGAAAAACACACCATCTGGTGGTGAAAGGATTAAACGTGAATAGCTACTGGAAACAGTGGAAACTGGGCTGGAGTACTGGAGGCGAAGGATGGAAGTTATATGAATCGTTCTGCGTTTTACAGAAAATGTTATACACGCGTGACCTGCATCGGTCGATCGGTCACCAATTATTCCAGTATTGTGCTATCAGTAGCGCTTGGCGATCTTGTATCGTGGGTGATTGCTAAGAACTATTCCTACTTCAATACCCGCTAATACACCAAAAAATAAACCCGACTAAGTTTTCAAGCAATCACTATCTAAACCGAAAAGTTAATTCCTCTAAAGTCCTTGGAGTTGACTGTACCATTCCGTACATACATGCATGCATTTGTCACACATACATACTCCGTACATATTAATGTATATGTAAACTAACAGCAACAGCAACTATAAGTAAACTGCTATATATGTATTGTATGTAATGCATGTGTATACATATTATTGTACATATTTTCATGCAAACGATATTGCGGCAGTTTCAAAATAATAGTTAAATATATGATTCCACCTGTCTAATGAACGTTCACGAAAAATGTTGAGACATTTAAGAAATGTTGGTGCTGTTAAAAAAACCGTTTCCAAATGTATAAATGAATATAGTCAAAAGGTTAACTTTCATTATTTTTAAAGTTTGTTCTTTTTCTTTTCCGTATGCAATCTAATATTAATTGTAGACATTCACAAATGATTATCCAAAAAGGATATTTTCGGGGATTCAACCATCTGGAGGTCTACATTTAGGGAACTACCTTGGAGCTGTACAAAAATGGATTGAACTACAAAACAATGGAGAGAATATCGTGTGGAGCATAGTAGATTTGCATTCTATTACTCTACCACATGTAAGACTTTCACACTATTAAAAAACAATATTAAACACAAACATAAATGTATTATGAGTAAAATATTCCAGGATCCTAAAGAGTTAAATGACAATATATTAAAAATGACAGCAACATTATTAGCCTGTGGCATTGATCCAAAGAAAAGTATACTATTTCAACAATCTACTATTCCTCTTCATACACAACTATGCTGGGTTCTGGGGTGTATAACAACTTTACCAAGATTAAGTCGACTGCCTCAGTTTAGAGAAAAAAGTCAAGAATTAAAAGTTATCCCCTTGAGCTTGTACATTTATCCTGTTCTACAAGCTGCTGATATATTATTATATAAGTGAGCAGATTTACTAATTATATAAAGAAGACGAATACCATTTCGAACGCCATGACTAAGGCGATACATAGAATGTATATTTCAGAGCAACACACATTCCAGTTGGTCAAGATCAAGTTCAACACATTCAACTAGCGCAAGAATTAGCTGTTAAATTTAATAAAAGATATGGAGACACTTTCCCTGTGCCTCATTCTTTAGTCAATGGTAATTCATTTTAATTTTGCACGTCTGAAATATTCTAGGTACAAAGTTTTTATCACTCATGTATTGTATATATTGCAGAAGATGCTAGTCAACGAATAAAGTCGCTTCGCGATCCTACGAAGAAGATGTCAAAGTCTTCCCAGGATGAAAAGAGCAAGATAGAAATATTAGACGAACCTGATGTTATACGGGAAAAAATAAAAAAAGCAGTCACCGACTGTACGTCGAGAGTAACTTATGAGCCGGAAACACGACCTGGCGTTTCAAATTTAGTTATTATTCATTCAATGCTTACTGGAAAATCACCAGATGAAATATGCCCTGAAGTAGAAAGTTTAGATACTGGAAAGTATGTATGTTAAATTATTATATTTTTTGTGGCCGATAGATGAATTGAAATCTCTTTCTTTCATAGATACAAAATGGTAGTGGCTGAGATAGTAATAGAGAAATTAACTCCACTGCGTGAAGAATTTTTAAGATTGATTAGAGAACCAATTTATCTGCAAGAAGTTCTAAAGACTGGCACAGATAAAGCTATGGAAATTGCTAGCGACTGTTGGTATGAAGTTCAGAGTAAGATTGGTTTCGAAGGCGACGTTTTCCGTCAAAATGAAAAACATGTACAAAATATTTCACGAAAACTATAATGCAAAATAAATATTTGAAAATAAAATGTGTTTTATTGGAATATACAATTATACGATTACATTCATTCGTAGTATGCCACTTTAAATTATTAACTTTTCTTAAGAATACTATCTCATATCAATTACTAATTTCCCTCGAAGATGACCTTGAGCTACTCTTTCATATGCTACTGGCAAATCTTGAAAGTGATACACTTTTTTAACCANACTTTTCTTAAGAATACTATCTCATATCAATTACTAATTTCCCTCGAAGATGACCTTGAGCTACTCTTTCATATGCTACTGGCAAATCTTGAAAGTGATACACTTTTTTAACCACAGGAACCACCTAATCAAAATGAGAAGTTATTGACATATTACCATTGAAACGGGTGAATATTAAGTATGGAAAGATACATCACTTCTCCATTTTGTACAAATTCTTTAAACATTTTAATTCCTGTTTCAGAAGGGGTGAAAAATGCCCATTTCACTGTACTTTTATTATCAACCACCGGCATATTATACTTCACCAATTCCCCAATATTTTTTACCGTCCCCGCAATCAATCCGTGTTGATCGGTATTTTTGAGTAAAGGAGAATTCAACGTTATATACGTAGAATGTGGATACCCTTTTAATCTTATTTGTTCTGGGCCTTGATTAGCACAATCCAGAATTAAGTTGTAACTGCATTTGAAAATCAATCAGAATTAAAGGTGAAACATTTCTTAAATAGGAACAATCAATAAATTACGTACGGCCCCTCCATAGTTATTTTCGAATCAGCACCATCTAATTTATAATCAATTACAATATCAGCCCCTAATTTTTGCACCAAATTTACAGCATCACTGCTGCATGTGGCAATCACCTAAACCAGTCGAATTTATAATTTATGATATAAAAATGTTAAGTCTTATTGTTGTTCTTATAAAAAGCATACATGCATATCCCAAGCCTTTAAAAGTTGTATAGCCAATGTTCCTACTCCTCCTGAGCCACCCAATACTAGGGCCCTATTATTTTTTCTCATAGCCATTGTACTTTTATAACATAATCCACCGGTGATCCACAATGCAGACCATGCTGTGAGACCAGCATACAAAATACTAGCAGCTTCAATATATGATAAATTCGTAGGTCGTGGACTGACCTGTGGTTTAATATTATTTACATTTTTGGATTACGTAAAGTAAGTTAATTATTAATATTATTTACCAATGTACTATCAACCACTACATAGCCAGCATGACAACCCTGCTGTTCTACAGGAACGACGCCCCATACTTCATCACCTAATTTTAATTTATCTCCAACACCATGTCCTTTCGATACTACAATACCAGAAAAATCTCTGCCTAAAGTTAATGGTAATTCTAATTCATCGTATTGTCCACCAGTAAAACTTCTCGCTTTTCTCATTAAATTTAATACAGTTGCCCCATACCCTCCTAATAGGAAATATTTGGTTGCAGTCTTAAATGTATATTTAAGCTATGAATAGTAATTTTAATATGTTGCATACTTGTCATAGCAATATCAATTGGATTTACGCTTGACGCTTCTACTTTTATCAGAACATCTGTTGGCCTACTAATTACTGGAATTCTGATATTTGAAAGTTTCAATTCCTCAAGCCCACTGTAGGAATGTATCTGCCAAGCTTGCATTTTTTCGTCGATATTTTCTTGATGTTGCGCCGACAGCTTATTAAGAAAACGAGACTGTATCCAGCCAAATGTATGCTTCGATTTAAAGTTGAATAGTATTTTTTTTAACATTGTTACGAATTGACTTTATGATTAATCTGACACTGAAGAATGACGGGTAGGTTACGTTGTAAGCTACGGTATCGTACCGTTGTTCAAAAACGGGTTTTTCAACCAATTTTACCACATAGATTCACATGTTTTGGTATAAAATTCAATTCAGTAAATTTACTTTGAATATTCTTTCATGACAAAGTTGTCCAACATAAATTTTTCGATGTATGTATATGAATTGAATGTTACTGTCATGCGTCTTTTTTTCTTAATGCGTGTACTAGATATAAGTAATTAAGTATATAGTCGTTTAAAAGGCATGCGTTAATGACGTCACAGCTAGAGATGCCACATGGCCGCAATCCCGTGTATAAGTTTAATTTTTGACGGAATTGGGCGCTAAAAGAGATCTGTATGACGCACGTAAATTAATTTATGTTCAGTTATATTGGAAAAATATTGAAACATGCCTAGTTCTTTTTATCTTTTCATGAAAAGCTTTTTTTTCATGCAGATTTTTATACACGAAAATTTTTTATATGCACTCACCAATGTTGAGATGAGGAAAATATCTTAATTCTAAGTAATAAATGAATATAAACGAATCTTAGAATCTTTATTTCGCGATCCTTGACCAAATATGATTCAAAATATTCACGTATTGCTAATACATACATAATTATAAATCACATAACTATCACACAATTATAAAGAATTCATATATATATGATTGCTGCTTTGAAT